GATTTAAAAAACGTTAAATACCATTTCTCTTGGAATTGCCAATCCATCAAACAACAACAATAACAACAACAAAAAGTCAAACTTTAAAGAGTATCTAGATATACATCATTATTTTAAAATATTTTAGCAACTAAACCAATTTATCTAGTCATGGGCCAGTTGGATTCTTTCAGATATTTCAGTTCTTCGTATCATATCTTCCTTAGCTGATTCACTAGATTGTCACTCTGCTTGTTACGGAGTAAGAATCTTCTATAACCTAGATTTTCAATTTATATCTCTTCCTTATGGTTTAGGTTTAGCAAGTCCCCAAGCACCCCTCTCTCTCTCTCTCTCTCTCGATATATCTATCTCTGTCCTAATATTATTAAAGCTTTAATCTGTTTGTTTGTCTGTTTGTCTGTAATGCTTTATTCACACTCTGATTGGTTGTCTGAAACAACCAATCAGAATATTCCAAGAGCATTCTGGACAGGAGGCAGCAGGGGCACGCCACCATGAAAGCAGGGTTGGAGCAGTTAGAGTGGCAGGGGGTGAGGCCAGCGCCACTGGCCTCACCCCTGCTTCCTGCAGGCAGTGGAGACACAGGGTGCTGGCCAAGGGGACAGAGGGCTGCAAGGTTCCCCCCCACCCCTGCTCCTGGGACATGGCAGCGGTTTGGGGTGGTGCGTGGTAGTGCTCTGTCCCCACCCACCTTCCCCCATCATTCCTGGTGGGCAATTGGCTAGTCTGTCTATAATGTTTAAGTCTCCTCCTCAGTGACCCTCTCCTTTCTCTAGCTATTTTCAGACAGAAATCCCCCTGCATTATCTGAGAATAAAGTGGACAGTAGAAGTACTTCAAATAGCACTTAACTGTGGGAAACCAGGAAAGCTGTGTACTGTCTCTCCTTGAAAAAAAAGTTTGGCATTTGGGGAATGATTGTTCCTTTTTTCTCCTATAACAGGAATGACAGTGGGAAGTACCTATGCTACCTTTACTTCCAGTGATCTCAGACACTTTAGCAAGTGAATTGTCCTCTCATGAAAACTTTTATAATGGCAATAAGACTGCTAAAGTGGCAATAAGAAATTTGAACAATTAGTAAAGGGTGGTCTAAAACATTCATACCATCACAGGAAGAAAGGGAAGAATAAACTGTGCTTGTAAGATTTCCTCACTGTGCTTCCCTGCAAAAGATCCAGCACAGGGACTTCATTAAACCAAGAGAAGGAAGCCGTAGGCAGCAGTGGCTGGGCAATAATTGTTTTTTTCAACCAAGGGATCTCTAAGCAAATACAGAATTTATGCACCTAACCCCTCTCCCTACACAAAAATAGATTTAGATTTCTCATTGCTGTATTGGCTTTCCAGAAATTCCTTTTCATTGTGACCCTCTCTGAGGGAGGAGTGTCACTTCTCATCTTGTTTAAAAAAAGAGATTCCACCTCAAAGATGTCTGTCTTTTAAATTTGTTATATTCCGTGACTGTTTGTTCAGCAACATCTAGGTTGTTTCTGAAGCAGTGATTGCATGATTGCTTAACCAAGTCTGACATCTTTCTTTTGATTCTTATCATGGACTACTCTGTCTTGAGATTTATTTCTTTTCCAGCTTCCCAAATATATATGGAAAGAAACACCTGATTCTGCAAGGTGGTGAACAATAAGATAGACCAGTGCCTGGGACTGACCCTTACCATCAAAAAAAAAAAAAAAAAAGATGCTTCACCAGCCTACTCCATGACAATCAACTCCCCACGCAAAGACCCTCAGTGATGGACAGGAGCTGGAGAATGTTGAATACTTTGCATACCTCAGCAGCCATCTGTCAAAGAAGACTGACATTGACAAGGAGATCCAGTACAGGATCTGATGCGTCAGCTCTGCCTTCAGAAGACTGATTCATCATGTATTCAATTATCACGTCAGGTCTCAAACAAAGCTCCTACTGTATACAACTGTGGTAATCCCAACTCTTCTCTACAGCTGTGAAGTTTGGGTGGCCTAAAGGAACCACCTGAAATGCCTGGAACACTATTACCAGTACTACCTCCTGAAGATCCTTGGCATAATGTGGGAGGATCAACGCACAAATGCGAGTGCCCTCACAGATGTTTATACCATCAGTAGGGAAGCATTAATTATTTAATATCAGTTGCATTGGACAGGGCATCATGTGTGCATGCCTGATGTATGTATACAAAAATAACTGCTACACTCCCACCTCAGCCAAGAACAAAGGAGATGAGGCCAGAGGAAATGCTTCAAGAACACCCTCAAGGCAAACATTAACTTCACAAATTGGTAAAGTAGCCTGTGACAGGGCTACATGGTGACGCCTTATGAGAGAAGGCATATCTTTGAAGAAAACTGTTGCCCTGGAGGCAGAAAAAGGACAGAACGGAAGGAGAGGAAATGAGACCGATAAATTTGCTGTCCAACCCTCCCTTTAACCACCACCTGTGGCATTTGCCAGAGAATCTGTGGGTCGAGGATTGGCCTTCTTAGCCATCAACGAACTCATCTACAACCCTTTACTTGACCCGTGTGAGTGATCATCCTCAACTGTGTAGGATCGCTGCTGCTGCCAAAGAGCACTTCTCATGATCAGGCCCAAATTTCTCGAAGAGAATTGAGAAAGATTTCAACAACTGAACATTCAGTAAAACTAACTGAATCTAAAACAGCAACTAGAGAGCCATAAATAAAAGCAATGAAATTCATATCAAAGCAACCTCAAAAAAGAAAATAAATATCATACTCCACAAATGGCACATATAAGGGGAATAAAAAATATAAAGAATAAGATTCTCTAGCAAAGGGCAAACTATATGCAGACGCTCATCAAATATACCTATGATATTATACCACAATCTGAGGCCAACTGGTATTGCTATATACCTGAAGAGACTATAATATATAGTTACAAGCCACAGACTTATACAGTTGTGCATTTTATAGGATGATGCAATTTCATGACAACATTTTTCCATATCCAGCTATTTTTTTAAACTGAATTTCAGGGTAACATAACTTAAACATCTTCAAGTGTATCCACATTTACTATGTTATTTGAAGATAAACTGTATAGAAAGATAAAAAAAACAGAAAGAAAACACATTGGTCAACTTGCTGCAGTCAGTGATTGTACTAGTACTTTATCCCAAAGATCCAAGTTCAAATAAGATCACAGGTGCATGGGAAGCAGTGCTTGGGGGTGGGGAGTGGAGCAGCAGGGAAGACTCCCAAGGCTTTACCCAGACTGGGGTCTGGAGAACAGGTGGGAAGCAGTCTCCTCCACTCTGCTGATGATCTCTAGGAGCAGAGTAGAGTGAGCAAAGTCTCCAGCTGCTTACAAAGCAGGTAGGGGAAGAGTCAGGGGGCAGAGAGCAGCTGCTTCTCTTTTCTGTTCTAGGCCTCATGCAGTGGAATAGAGCAAGCAGCGAAGTCCCTCGACTGCTTTTCTCTTCGGGGACTCTGGACTGAGAAACAGGCAGGGCGAAGCTCACTCTCAGGCAGGGGAAGGACCAGATGCCCTCCTATGCCTTCTGCAGAACAGGTTCATCCTGGTTTCTGGAAGGCGTGGGAGTCTTTTCTTGTGGTACCAAGGAGGAGTTAAGCCATAGGAATGTGTGCAGAAATTCATTCTCTTTCCAGAAACTGTCATGGGGGGAATTTTATCTGTTTGTAGCCAAGTTATTTTTTTTCACAAATTGGCCTTTTTTCATCTGAGAGAAAAAGTGGGAATGTCTGTACACTTCCAGTTTCTACGGGGAGAGCAGCAAGTCTCCTGGTGGACACTTAATGCTTGTACATAATATGTAAGGGCACAAGGCAGATCAGGGCTAGTATTAGGAAGTTTTTAGAGGAGGAAACTTTTGGGAGGGATTGGGAGTAGAATCTATGTAGAAGGGGGTCCCATTTGCTAATACTCTACAGATCATTCTATCAGATACCTCCCTTCAACCGCTTGCTCTAAGTCCTGTAAACCCTGGACCAAAGTGGTAGAGGTTTTGGAAATTAGGATTTAGGTTCTCTGGCAGAGATACTTAAAGCTTGCATAAAACATGCCCAGAATATTGCAATTACACCCAGCCTACATTTTTCTAAACAACAGAAGTAGCCAGAAAGAGAAAAATAATCTATTTGGAAAAACTCAAGTCACAAAACAATGAACATACTAACATTTCGCTGTGAAATGTGTGCATCTCATAGTACTCAATAATGATACAAAACATACTATATAAAAACATTCTATACACATATGGTCTGCTTCTGTCTGAATGGGATGTTTCTTGTTACAGATAAGAATATAATGTTGAAGAATTTTCTCTTTGTTTATCACTTGTACTAACTTTTTGCATACTAATGAGCACCAGTGGTTACAGATGCCTGCTGTAGACAGATTCAAAGTAGAATTAAACCATGAAAATGGTTATCATCTTAATGCAGAGCAGTGTCTCTCCGCTGACAGAATATATGAGCCTACCAGCCCAGGTGTGGTACAAAGATTTTACAGAAACTGTACAACTTTCTTAAATAAAATATTTTCATACTATTTTAATTGAAAATACACACATAAATGACAGAAATTATTCAGTGAATAGGGCAACCTATAATTACTGCTCCTAGATACCAAAGATGCTATATCAATTGAATGGCTAAATTTAAATTCAGTTAACTCACCAGTCATTAATTTTTTAAAATATGCATGAGTCACTGAATCACAATAAAGCCAATTAATTGAAACTGCACTGTAACGAGGAGAAGCAATAACCTTATTCCTCCATTAAACAAATGGAAGTGGCATTTTCTTATAGTTTTTGATGTCTTGATTGGCTGTATGGAAACTCACAATGGACTTACTCAGCTCATTTCACCAAGGCTACTATTAACAAAGCTCTTTGCATGGTTTGCAACATATAGAGTTAAGGTCAGTCAGAATACAAAAAATAAAGAAAATGAAAAGGTAACATATTTTCACACAAACATAGGTTATAAAAATGAAAACAACATTACCTGGAACAAGTTCCATAACTATATAAATAGGCTGCCTTTGAGTGCAAACTCCTATAAGCTTCACAATATTGGGATGATCATACTGCTTGAGTATTCTGGATATGGTGCAAAAAAGGTAGATTAATGTTACTATGCAAACTGATTAAAATAAATTAAAATATAAACAGATAATATCTTAAACTCTTAACATTGTTTTCAAATAGCCAGTGACACTGCAATATCATTCAAAATAAAATAAGATGCATTTCAATATATCAAATGACCCCTTTGCAGAACTGTAGCCATATGACACTGTTGAGAAAATTAAAAACTAGTGCATAGCTCAACTAATTTTCAAGTCAAGTACAATGGCTATATATTTTCATAGTAATCCCACCATTTGCCCATATCACAGAACTATATAATTTGGCATGACAATGCAGTCATAGCTCAAGAGGCTAAACAGCACATCAGAAGTGAGGATCCAGGCAAAAAGCTTTCAGAGCAAATGCCTCTGTCTGCATTTTGCTTCTGTACAGATCAAGTCCAAATCCAGCTTCTCAGACACTATATGTATTAAAGAATATTAAATCAGCAGGAGAAAAAAAACTATTCTAAACTAAACTTGCATCTTGTATAAAACTTGCATCTGCTGAAGCAAGATTATGATGAGTCTGAGTAATATGCACCATGATTTATAAATGAAAACAAGGGTTGGAGTGAATTGTAGAGGGACATTATAGCTGTAGAAAGTTGCAGCCTTGATGTTCATTAACTTGAACTGCCTCTTGTAAAAGAAAAAGGAAACCTGTAGGGTGCTTGAATATAATTTCAGTAAAGAACAATGCATTTCATTGTCCTTTCAATGTAAAACCATTTTTTGAGTTGGAGGTTGCTTAGTAAGTGAAGTTACTCCCTGGTAGCCAACTAAGCTACTAACATGAAATCACAGCTGTTTTTAGGGATTTATATAGGTGCAATGTTCTACAAAAGATTTCTATATAAAGTTAATCTTTCCTTATTCATCTTCAAAATCCATTATTTATCTAACCAAGAAACTATGTCCAACTCTAAAAAACAAGGCGATATTTTCCCCCCCCCAATATTTTGGTACATTCCCTTAGCTGAAGAACTAAAAGGACAAGTACTATTATATATACGTATCAGTTGCTTCTTAGGTTTTCCATCACCATTTCACAATTGTTGCCTGACATGGCACAAGAGAACCCTTCCAGAGAGGATGTGTTCCTTCCCAACAAATGATCAGTTAATGGGGTCTAACTTCCACACAAGTTTGGTGAGGTTTGTACTGGTTCAGGTATGTCAGTCAGCAGTATGAAAACATGTTATTCCTCACTGGGATAAGCATAACTTCTCCACACGCCTTTTATTAACACAGCTATGTCAGACAACTGTCTCAGCAGAAGTTCACAATGTAGACTGCTGTGTGGCCAAGAATGTGCTTTTACTGGTATCGCTTGTTTTGCTTGTAGGCAACGGTTTCCCTTTCACCAGTGCTAAATCCAGCTCTGCCCACAGAGGTTCACTCAAAGTAGGAGACCTTTTCCAGTACAGTATATCAATAATCCTAAAATGGTAGATTGCTCCTAATATAGGCACAATTTCAATACTACTGTTTAGCCATCAGGGATTGATCTAACTTACTTGTTTGAGCCTGTGATAAAATCACCCACTCAGACAAAATACTGGGATGACTAAGAGTATTAGGCCCCTAGCACAAATGCATGGTAGGAGGCATGATTTTGGGATCAGATCACAATTAGACTCTTTCTACTTGCTAATACAGAGGGAGCCTGAAATAAGCTGAAAGCAGGATGCCAACAGGTCCAGGGCTGGGAATGAAGATCAGCTGACTGGTTAATTGTGGCAAAAATATAACGTGTAGAGGAAGCCTTAGGTGCACTGTTTTTTGTGATTAGTTCAGCTACCATGTATAGTACAGACAGCTTTAAAATCCATGTAATAATCAAACCTGAAAAAATACATGTCATGCAATCACATATGGTAATTCTGTTCACAAGAACTCACCTGGCTTCTGATAAAAATTTTATTTTCAGTTCCTGAGGAAGATCTTCTTTGCAAGTTTTTACAGCAATAGGAGTTTTATCTTTTAATGTTCCCTTATACACTTCACCAAAATTACCCTGAAAATACAAATATACATTCTTTGCTCAGAACAGATAACATGGCTTACAAGGAAAGCACAAGACCTACAAGGAAAGGTTAGAAGAACTGGAGAAGAGAAGACTGGTGGGGAGGGGAGAAGATATTCACTAAAAGTCTTCAAATATAACAACGCTGTTATAAACAGAATGTTGATCAATTATTGTCTGTACCTGCAGTGGAAATGGCAAAAAATAAGAGTCTTAAATTGCAACAAGGGAGATTTAACTTGGCTATCAGAAATAATTTTCTAAGTTTGAGGGTGATTAAATACTGAAACAGACAACTTTGTGGAACCTCCATCAGTGGAAGTTTTAAGATCAGGGTAAAAAATACTTAGCTGGGATGCAGTGGCATAACCAGGACAGGGAGTGCCCAATAGGGGCAACTTCCCCAGGTACTAACATTGCTGGGGGGGAGGGCTAAAGAAAGTGGTTGCTGTTGGCAGCTGCACCTTCATGTTCATGATCGTGAATAGGAAATTGCAGTTTCCACTTTGCCCTGGGTGCTCGGCTGCATCCCTACACTACTGCTGGGATGGTTTAGACAGGACATTATTCTGAAAAGCCTTTACAAAAGTAAAGAGCTAATCATTCAGAAGAAACAGGTAATTAATGTCAGAAAGTATTAACTGCATCAATTTAAAGATGCTCTAATTAAAGAAGAAACGCTTTGCTCTAATGCACTATTATTTAGTGCAAAGTATGCTTATAGTTTATTATAACTTAAATAGAGAATATGACAAAGAAATTTGACTTTAACTTTCCTGAAAACATTCTCTAACTGTACTAATTAGGTTTTTCTTTAAATACACTGTTATTCTTCCAAAAACTAAGAGACGCATTGAAAACAATGTTTCCCTATTTTCGCTTCACTAACCTATTCCGATAAATAAGAAAATTGTGGTCAGGTGCTAATTCCCATACAGGGATGCATAATTTTTGGATAACTGATAGTACTTTTTAAATGACAGTTGACACAGGCAACAGTACTATTTATGACATGAACAATGTGT